ACCTACCTATTATATGTCAGCTGACCTATCTGTGAAGTTTTGACTGGTTAATTTGAATTTTTTTTCTGTTTCCTGTCTTGTATTTAAGCAATTTTTACAATGTTTTACTATGACCCTGATGAAGGCCACAAGCCGAAACGCGTTGGTCTATTATTAAAGTTGTTCTTGTACCTCAAGTGTTGCTGGAGTTCCTGCTTTGTGAATTATTTTATCCTCTCCATGCACCTTGGAAGCAGGTGAAGTTGTGCCAGAAATTTTTTTTGCTGCGATAGACACCCAGTTCCCAAATAAATTAATTAACAGAAAGCAGCATCTTAAAACGGCATCTTCTTGTTCTTCATCCTGTTTTCAGACCCAAAATGAACTGTGGTTTGAAAAAGATGAAAAATTGACTGCCACTTGCTCCAATTCTATAGAGCATCCACTGTTTATCAGTGTATCAGGCGCCCTCTGTATCGGTCACAAAAACTATGATGCACAATGCTGAGTTAAAGCTGGAGATTGCGACTCTGTGGAAAACGGTATCTTCTTATCTAAAGACACTTAAAATCCCACATGAACTATATTAGAGATAGAAAACAATTTTCTTCATCTTCAATGCTTTCTCTTAAGACTTTACAGCAGCGGTCAGTCCTTACCTTCTTGACCATCTTATTGCTCTCTCTGCCGTACATGCGCAGCAGTGAGCCCCAGTTCTTGACGTGAGGATGTAGCATCTGCAAGATCTTCTGAGATGCTAGCTGTTTGCCAACCCTCTTGTTCTTGCCTAGTTACAAAGATGACAAATACAAATAACCTGTCACTGAAACTCACATGTTAGTGTCACACAGTGAAAATTTGTATTTATCACTTATATTGGTTTTATTCTGATTTTTAGTGTTTTTATTTGCATGTTTTTAGTGTGTCATTTGACATTGTTTTAATCCACTGTGGAATGGCTGAACATGGGATAAATTAGTTGATAGGGATCACCTGCTGAGGTATGGGTGTGTCCAGAGGTGGCCTGTTAGCTGCGTAAAGACCTTTTAAAAGCAGGCTAGCTGAGCCCTGGGAGGACAGAGGCCCCAGATATGAGCAGGAATGTGTGAAGGCCAGGTGAAAAGAGGGACCCGCTGCCTGATCGTGGGGGTGCAACACCTAATCAGGAGACGGATCGGCCAGCGAGACGTGGCGGCCCAGTCCTGACAGCAAGGAACGGCGACAGTGGGAGACAACGCGTGTGATTAGCAGCAGGGCAGAGCCTGCATTTGTGAGTAGTGTCTCCACTGTTGTTCGCCGGATGCAGCCGGGTTGGGAGAGGGTCGCCATGGCTATAAGCCAGGGACACTTCTGGGACGATTGTTCTGGCCCCTATTTGTTATTTTACAGGGCGCTGATGCGAGGGGAGCCGTGGTGGCATCGCATGATGGACTCCGGTGCAGAACGCAAGCTGGGCTGGGATGTGATGGGCCTAGTGAAGCGATAGGAGGAGGATAGGAGGCTCCTCCTTGTCTGTTG